CAAGAGCAGTAATGTCTACATCTTAGGCTGCTCTGTAGTTTGAAAGTACACAAACAGTTTGTATACTGGAATTAGGCTACATTCAGCAGTGTGGCATGAGATACAAATTAATTTACTCTGTTTCTCAGAGCAACAGGTCCAAGCAGAATAAATTAAACAGTATAGAGCTCTACTGCTTAAGTACCTAACTTAGCTTGGAACCTCTACACTTTCTGCAAACCCAACTTTGAATCTGTCTAAAGAAGTTGTTCACTTTGTGAGAGAGCCTTGAGCCTCCCAAATTCTATGGGTGGGACACAGTCAGGGGCACTGTTTGTCCTGGTTTTGGGTAAAACAACCAAGTTTGTTTTCAGTAATTTTACTTTTCAGTTAAGCCTCTTCTAACTCTCTGAAATAAACAGCGTATTATTCATTGTCTGCTTCTAGAGAGATAAGGCCTGATGTTTATAGTTGATGCCAAGGAATGGTATGCAGAGAGGCTCTTGCTTATACTTACTGCTGTAACAACAAAGGCCAGATAACTTTGTGGAGGCAGAACAGTGTAAAAGGGTTGCACCTGCAGGCAGAAGTAGACAGGACGCATGACCCAAAACTGACCAACGAGGTGTTCCACCCCATCTGCCTCATGCTCAGTGTAAAAGCTGTCAAAGCTGATCAAAGGGTCAGCCCTCTTTTGTCAATGGCCGATGTTCGAGGGGGGTCTGTCTGTTCACCTGCCTTTGATCCCGGTCCATGTGTTTCTGAATCCAGATCTGCAATCCAGTTCCCGTCTGTCGCCGAGTTCAGTCTGGGACTCTCCCAGTGCCTGCCGGTGATGTGATGGTCGTGCTGGGAGCTCAATATGGGTTCTATATATTGTACATATTTCATTATTTTACTATTATATTTTCTTATTATTATTTTATTATTAATATTTCATTAAAGTAGTTTAGTTTCCTTTCAACCCCTAAGTCTCTTTCTTATTGTCACTCTCTCGTTCTCTGAGGGGAGTTAGGTCGGGGAGTGCATCTGTCGTTAATGTGGTGGCCAGCCCAGCCCAAACCACGACGCTGTTGCACCCCAGTGCTGCTGTGATGGACACCACCCTCCAGCAGAGCAATATCCCATAGACCAAGTATGGCAGGCGCGATCTTGGCCAGAAGCAGAAACATGTGACTCCAAAATTAAAAGCATGAGTCTTTATAGCCAGGGATAAAGAAATCAAGCTGAAAACAGCCCGATTCCCACTTTATGTGTACTGGGACAAAAAAAAAAAGAACCGCTAAAAAATGGGAATAGCTATTACTCGCATGTAAAACACTTCAACTTTTAGTCAGCCAAACCCAGTGCAAATTCCACTTTCTCTGTTTAAGCCCCATCAGGGCAGCCAACACCGGGCAGGGTTGAAGGCTTTGAGATGCCGTTTTCCTGCCCCGGACACCTCGGCTGCTGGGTGCGGGTGCCACCGCCAGCCCTCCTCCACACCGGCACCTGGAACGGGGCTCCGCACCCAGCGAAGCGCAGGTGTCACG